TTTTCAATGATACATCACAGGAATGCCGAAATCCAAAAAGTTTAGAACAGAATCAGCGAACTTCTTTGTGTGGAGTCCGGTCAAACCCTGGTAGCAGCCATGTTTGATTTTTAATATTAGAGAACGCTTACGCGCATAATCATTCCATATTTGGGAATTCACATGGTAGGATGAAAATACCCTGTAAAATACCGTAAAATTACGGGCACACTGTAACTTATGGCATTGAAAGATCGTAATCTTAGTCCTAAGTAACTATTAAAAATAGCTAGACGTTTTGAGCAATTGCTCTATATCGATAGCATTTAAATGTTGAAGGACAGTGGTTTAATGTAACAGTTTGCAATGGTCAGCTGCAAAAATATTGCTACTTTGTTAGCAAAACACAGAGCTGTATTGCGAGATGACTGGTTTTGTACATGTACAAACATGTTTTTTTTTTTTCAAATCAGAGACTGTAACCATCACAGCATGACCAAATCACTGACCTGTGTGAAGAAAGCAGCTGATCCAAACCACAGATGTAACAATGTTATAACCCATAAAGGAGACCTGGACAGATAAGCTCTCCACAAGACTGTAGTCAGAAAATGTTCCTCTAATACGAGCAATGACAGCACTGCACTATTATGAGGTCTGAGTAACAAAGCTGATAACACTATTAGTGCTGTTAAGATACATTCCAGTGTATCAACTAAGGTCTGTTTATATGTGTTTATATTTTCATCTGTCTTGCGTGTTTGCATATAAGCGATATAAATAGCTCTAAAAATCTGAACTCCAATCACGGCATACACAAACCATGCCTCGTACACACCCCTGAAACAAAGAAAAACAAAATATTTGTTTATATCATATTTGAAGGAAAAATTTGTTTGTTCCAGTGGATCTGCTTCATATACTGTAACCATGACAAAAATAATCTTTCCTTAGAAATCAGTGTATAGCTATATAACAATAAATAAATAAATACAATAGTTAAAGGAAAGACTTCAATATTACAAATGAGGAGTATGTTTATTTCTTGTAATCACCCATATAATTGTATTTTTGTGTCATTGAACTACTGTCTTGGATTTTTTTTTAAATATAATATTTAATAGAATCTTCTTTCAATGGATTTGATATTTCAGACATTTTAAAAAGAGGTATTTCATTTTGTAATATTATGCAAGGAACAATGTCTACAAATCTAATTTTCAATTCAATGTCTACAAAATTCTTTTTTTTGTTTGCCAAATTGAGAATTCTTTTTACAGACACTTACTTCACCGTGTCAACGTTTGTACATTTTTATGAAAGTAAATTCTGTACATGGTGGCAGTAACAATGCAATATAGACAAGAGAAAGTCAGAATCTTGCTAAAAAATTAATCACTTACTTGCTTGGTACTGTTGATCCCCATGGTAACAAAATGATACCAGTCACAGCTCTGTAGTAATATACACCGATCAATGCCAACACAAGTAATAAACTAAACTGCCTTCTAAGGTGTCTGACAATGCAGATCACCACATGACTCACTATCACCATGCCGGAAAGATAAATTTTGTTTTCAGGTCTGTAAACAGAGTTTAAAAATGGATATACTTTATATACTGTAAAATGACTAATTTTCACTGGGTTTAAATTTTACTGATTAACCATTTCAGGCATATTTAGTGGGTTTTAAATTCACGGTTTTATTATTTAGATAATGTGTTCTATGCTAAATTTTACATATTCACTGGGTTTTAAAATTAGCGCATTTTCCAGTCAGCGAAATCAGCAAAATTAAAACCTAGTGAATAATTAACCCCTTTACTGTAATATACACATACCAACCAGCCATGAAAATAAAAGCATGTCTGATTTATTTTGAGTGAATAAAGCTAACATTTTTGAACTGAATAAATACAGATCAAAATCATGTTACTCTCATTTAATTGTCAGAATTTTTCCAGGACTCACTGACTTCTATTTCAGGAGGAGTAAAATTTATATTCTAATAGTCTGGAACTGGTGTGCTGGCCTGAAGTTTCACCCCTTGAGAGGAAAATGTACAACTCTTGTACATACTTTGAACTTAACATAAAATCCATTGAAAACACAATACACATAATATATATAATACAAACATTTTTATGTTTGGCGATGTACTTGACAAACTGAGATTTTGGAAATGTCTGGTAACTCACCTAACAAACCAGTCTCCAATGTCAGGTCTATCAGCCCACTTCATACCAGTTTGATTCCAGGCTCTCATAAGGCGTCCACAAAGCAAGACTATTAAAACAGCCACCACGGTTCTCATATTCCCTACAAACACTTCATCGGCTGACATTGCACATTTGTCTATCTCATCTTCTCCACATCTTTTTGTAATCAACTCATCATACTTGCAATCAGACTTGTCTATTTTTGCTGAAGATTTTGAGCCAATTAGTAAGCTTTTATTTAAAATTAATGAAAATGTTTTATAAAAAAAGTAAAAGTTTATCGTCATGGTAAAAAAATACCATGTTTGGTGCTCTTCTTCTACAAAACTACTGGACACAAGACTGAGAGTATGTAGAACTGAACCACCAATCAATGTCCACTGTCCTGTCATCAGTTGTGTAGTCTGAAACTGGAAAAAAAGATAATAATTACACTAACATCAGTCAAATCACAGTTTATGAATCACATTATGTGGTTAATTACTCATGTAGTTCTTCTAGTCACACAAAAAAAAGAAAAAAAAGAAATGGAATAGTGACAGATATATTTAAAACTGTTGTGGTATTCAGGCAATGGCAACACAGATGAGATGAAATAAAAAAAAAACAATATGAGAAATAAGAGTAACCCAATAAGATGATGCATGAGTGAGCCAATAAAATGAGAAATGAGTGAGCCAATAAAATGAGAAATGAGTGAGCCAATAGGATGATGCATGAGTGAGCCAATAAAATGAGAAATGAGTGAGCCAATAAAAGAGAAGAAATGAGTGAGCCAATAAAATGAGAAATGAGTGAGCCAATAAAATGAGAAATGAATGAGCAAATAAGATGAGGAATGAGTGAGCCAATAAAATGAGAAATGCGTGAGCCAATAAAATGAGAAATGAGTGAGCCAATAAAATGAGAAAAGAGTGAGCCAATAAAATGAGAAATGAGTGAGCCAATAAAATGAGAAATGAGTGAGCCAATAAAATGAGAAATGAGTGGGAGCCAATAAAATGAGAAATGAGAGGGAGCCAATAAAAAGAGAAATGAGGGAGCCAATA